CAGTCACCTACACATGCCACAGTAGACATTTTTATTTACTAGCTGGCGCCTGAGGCGTTCGCTAATTGCGCCTAAACGCCAGCAATAGGCGCCAACAGCATCAGCAGCAACAACAACAACACTTTAAGGGAACAGGAAATAGCTGAACGGGAATGAGGAAACTTGTTTTGGATTACGACTGGGGAGTCGGACTGTGAATTGGTCTGGGCCGTGCGCTTTGTAGTTGATAGCCTTTGCATTTAGTTGCCACATCGTAGCTAATAATAAAAGCTAATTAAGCATTACTGTGACAACACCTGTAAGTTATGAGTGTGTGCGCGTGTGTGCGTGTGTGTATGCAACACTTTCCACAATAAATTGCCACTAAATGTCACTAATAAGTGTCTGCCTCGAGTGAGCTGCAACAAGAGACATCGCAAGCTAGTTAGAGTGAGAGGTGCATAGTTTTTCCAGGCAGCAACTTGCTTTTCTAATTAATTTATGATTTTCCTCACCGCATTAATCTCACTCAAATGCCGGCGGCCGTGTTGGAGGATGTGGGGCGCCTCAAACGCGCACGTTCCCAAATGAGTTGTGGTTGTTGCTTGCCTAAAAAATGTCATGCACATGTGCCCCGCGTGTTGTTGTTGTTGTTGTTGCTACGGTCTTAGGGGCAGCAGCAGCAGCTCATGTTTTCTTAGACATTTATCATAATTTCCAAAGAGTGGCAGCAACATCAAATTATGTCTTTGTTGGCTCAAAAAATGAGCTGCTACGCGGATTATGCGATCTGGGGCAAGCGTGTGGCGTCTCCATTTCAATGCAACAAGTGCAACAGCAACATTCGCCCGGTTAAGACAGCGCTGTCAGCTTAAGTGGCATTTGCCAAAACACTTTCTTGGAAATTAATTAAAACATATGCTCATCACTCAGTACCATAAATCAGGCCCCGGCGACAATTATCAGTTTCAATTTGTGCGTAAAACTGTTTGATATCACAGAGCAGCAACAAGAGCTGTGTCCCAGGCCAATTAGCAGCAGGCAACAGCTAGACCCCAGACAAGAGCAGCAACAACATCGTTTGGTATTGCCTTAACCCTTGTTTCGGGGCGCAATTTGCCGCCACTTTGAGGAGGGGCAAGTTTGGTTGCAGCTCATTAAAATGCCGCCGCGCAATTGTAGCTAAAGTCAAAGAAATTAAGCAAAATGCCGTACAAAATTTCATCGATGCGTTGAGGTGGCAACAGAACAGCTCAACTCGACTCGACTCGACTCGAGTCGACTCGCAATCAAGTCACAACCTGAGGCACGAGGCGTAGTTTTTCCACTGGGGCGTGCTGGCATTTTTCCACTAGCAAACACCCTGTTGCCTGCCTCATCAGCTTCTCAGCCAGCTCCAGTTGTGTCTTGTCAACTGTCGTCCACTGAGTAATTACACCAAATTAATTGCCCAGCGCTGTCAGTGGCGCATTGTCTGCTAATTTTTTCCAATTGCAACGTGCAACGTGCAACGTGCAACGTTTAATTGCCGCCATCAGCACGTGATTATCTGAGAATTGATTGTGGCGTTGCAGTTGGGCTTTGATTTCGTTTTTATACCCTATAAAAAGACGCACACAATTGCCTCAATGGGTAACTAAATGCCACGCCCCCACCCACCCACACACACCACTCCACTTTGGGCGACCATAAAAAACGTTGATTTAAACTGCATGTTTTGTAAATATCTAATTTGATAATTGGTTGTAATTTATGAGTTTTGTCTGCGCGTACAAAACATGCATAAATGACGCCTTTTATGCGCTCGCTTCGCTTCTCAGAACTCCGCACACACACGAAATGAGCGCACATTAAATTAATATGCATTGCTTCTTCTTATATTTCTCGTTTTCTCTCTTTTTTTTTTAATTATTATTTATATCTGTCAGCCTATAAGGCGTGGATATGTGCAGCGGTTTATGTCTTCAGGGAGTTTTTCATGAATGAAATAAAATGCAGCCGTCGCCTAATAAGAAAAAAACGAGATGAGGTAAGTTTTTCGGAAACCGCAAAGGATGCTGAAATCTGAGACTGGAATCCAATTGTAAACAAGCGCTCCATATAAAACTAAAATTTAAAAAATTAAAGTTAATAAAGTTTGTTAAATTGGAAAGAATACTTAATTGATAACTTAGACTAATAATTGATATATGTTTTTTTTTATATATTTATAGTTTGGAAAAAGATTTATTAAAATTTATATGATGTAAATGTACCTAATTTATTTAGGTCACCCGCTGATGATTTTTAATTAACAGACTTCCCAACTATTTTACAATTAATGAAAACGGCTCAAGCAATAAATTATAACAATTTTTATATAAATTCTAGTTAGTCGGAATCTTATTATAATTACAAGTTGGAAAATATTGGAAATAATTTGAATTTGCAATTCACTTATTCATAATTTGTTTTTAAAACCTTATTTTAAAGAAGGAAAACCTTTAATTAAATGAAAAATGTTGAAAATGCAAGTGGTGCCGCCCATGATTGTCCTTCCATGATTGTGTTTGTTGACTTCATAAATTACTAATTATTAAGATTAAATATAACAAAATGTAGGAATTGAAAATTGCTGCTGGATTTGAGCCAATGAGCTCTCGCTTTTTGGTGCAATGCAAACTTTGACTAGGAATTAAGTTTTACTTCAACTTGGCCTCTTTTGATAAAGCGTGGCATCCATATGTAGCCTGCCTGTCATGTTATAGCCAAAAAAGCTGCCCAAATCTTGGCAAAACTAATAAACATTCTAGAGATAACCATTGAGTCAGGTCAAAGTCATTTGCGTTTATGGGTGTAGAAAGAAAGATCAGCTCAGCTAATAAAAACAATAATCAATAATTAAACAGATGGAAAATAGCTCAAAGAGCGAAGATAATTCTTTAGTTGAATTTCTATTGATATAATTGAAATGTTTTCAGAGTCTTCTCCCAATTAGAAGTCCCTGCGACTTGTTGTCTCGTCTTGCAGTCCTTTTTGTTTCTGACACAAATTAGCGTCAAGGCAAACAAACAGCCCAGCAAATGAATCATGCTGAAATTTCGTCAAAGAGTTCAATGCACGCCCGGCCACAAGATGCGGCACAGGCACTTCACCTTTGACGTAATCGGAAACCCAAATACACGAGCAATGGCGTGGGAGTGCCTCGGACAGATGTTTAGTCCGGGGCATTTCTTCTAACTTGAATGCATCATTAGTCGACAAACACACAAAAAACAAAAAAAGGGACAAACAAAAAACGGCGAGTGATACACGCGACTGCGAGCCGGAGTCGGAGCCGGAGTCGGAGTCGGAGACGAAGACGAAGACGAAGACGGAGCCGTGATTTATGTTGCGTGCGCCTGACAAACACTTGAGAAGTGATGATTTATAATGAAGATGCATGCATTCGTATTAATTAAATGAGTTTTTTTGTGACACGGTTGCGCTCCATTTAACGTTAAATGCCAGTGGAGGACGACGACGGGCTCCAAAGTAAGCAGATCCGATAAATGTAGGATTTTTGTATGCATATATATATATGTATCGGGGCATCCAGTTTCGGTATCTGGCCCAGAGGGCCGGCTGCAAATTGGTAATTGATTTGGAATGCCAGTGCCAAGTGGCTATATTCAGGGATCTGGCAGCGGAATTTAAAATATGGCAAGCAATAGTCGAATATTCATTAAGCGCAATTATGAAAATTAAGTTGTCATTTTGATTTGAATGTGGCGGCATGCGGCATGTGGCATGCGGCTCATAAGCAATATGCTCATTAAATTAAATCAAACTGACAGCCAGCCTGGCTAAATAGATGGGCCCAGCCCGTGCTCATTCCTCGATTAGCCCCCCCCCCCCCCGTTACCCCACTGCCAGCTGCCACCACCCTCCTCCCCCCCTTTACTGTCGCTCACTTTCATAGTTTAGCAGCAGCGCCGACTAATTAACGTGCTTTCACATATTTTGCTCAAATTGTGCATGAATAATGAAGACATTATCGCGATGCGATGTTACAGGCTGCTGCCAAAGCAGACACCCTGTATAATTGGCGTACAGCCAATTGCATCAACTATCCTCGGCTAAGGCAATTTTCGATGCGTCTCTCTCACTCGCACTGTTGCCATCTCTTTCGCCTGAATTATGTGTTAATAATTTGGAATTAATGAACGTTTTACATGTTCCTCGAAATCTGCCCAGCCATAGGAAAACGACAAAATTGTTTATTGCACGAAAAGTGCGCCTGCCAAATGGTGGCTAATAAACTGAAACAGAAATATTTATATAGCTAGAATGGGATGGAATACATAAGTACAATGGCGGAATACGAGTTCCCATATTTTGATTATCATAATTAGAGTACATCACAATTCTGTCACGAAAAGTCTTCGACCTCTAGATCAGGCTCTAATCTTACAATAGGACGCCAATTCAACCAGACTCTAAAATATTACAAAAAATAGAGAGAGAGAGAGAGAGAGCATACAAAAATTGAAATACTTGGAATCGAAATTGAGATTGAAATAGAAAAAATTTATGAGTACATTTATCTGCAGGCTAACCCGCCGAAGGGGACATACAACCCACATATGAGTAGCTTGTGAAATATGTTTGCAAACTTATTAAATATATTTAGCGAGGCATCAAAATATTAAATAGCGCTACTTGTAAACAATTAGCCAAAAAATATGACTTTTAATCGTCAGCAGAAGAACCAAAAAAGAGAACAACAAGTCCCAGACATATAGACATTACGTGGACACGCCCACCACACGCCGAGAGGCTGCGACAATTTCACACATGTTATATAAATAAACATATGTGTGGTTTTTCGTGAAGAGCAACATCTTCGAGCGGCCCGACCATTTCTTTCCACTGCATTGCCACAGTTCCGGCGAATGGAAAGAGTCGGCTATATGGCCACAGGCCACGCCCCCGCGAGATCTGTGTTCTACAATACGCAGGATGCGTTCCGTGCTCGAATTCAAATTAGTTTCCGAAACAAGTCGCCGCGCGCTGTTGTGTCTGATTCCGGCTAAGGCTCCATACGAAATATCCGATCCGAACCGATCCGTTCCGATCTGATCCCAAGTGAAAATGAATGCACAATCTGTGGTGCGTCGCCATCCGCACAGTTTTTCGATCGAACAGATTCTAGCCAAGCCCGAGCCACATAGTTCCAGCAATTATGTAGACAAAGCGTCCAGCTTTGAGGTGATCCACGATAATCAAGCCCAGTTGGCGCACGAGAGTGGGCGTGGCAGTTGTGATGTGTCGCGCGTATCCAGTCCGGCGACATCCAGCTGCCTGGAGGACGGCCTGGACGATGCCAAAAGTGATATAGAGCTTGCCTCGGATGATGGCAGTGGTGCGTATAAGACTCCAATTGTAAATCGAACAAAAATCAGCTAGTCACACGGGGAGCTTATTATTGCAGTAGAATGTTTGTGTTGTTCCTCTTAAATGCAATGCAACAGGATAATTGGGTCGTATTTAAAATTGCATATTTAATAAATACTTTTCTTTTTGTCTTCAAAAACGTTCTACTGGAGTATTACTCTTTAGAAAACCCAATACCTTAGTTTAAAACAGCCAAATTGATTAACACGCATTGATAACTCCGACGTGACACGTTCTTTGGTTTAATCAATCTTGGGACACGACTTAAGTAAAAATCGTGATATCAAAAGTATTTATTAAATTTGCAATCATTTGTCTTTCATTCTTTTCTCAACTAGACGAAACTAAGAAACTATCTGCAGCGGGCCTGACTATATAATCTGGCTATGTCCCTAGGTTAAATAGCGTCGGAGAAATTGCGTGCAGATTTGTGAACGATACAAAAATATATACAAATAGTTTCAAATATACAAAATTATATTCATTGCGTACTTGTGGCACAATTTACGAGGATTACACAGAAAATTATAAATTTTTGATGTCGTTTGCAAATTGTCAATCATTTTATATAGAACTCTATCTATTAAGATAATAGATCTCTATCTATTAAGAGGATCATGCCCAGTTAAAATTATATTAGGTAAAGGAAAAAAGACTGGTTGTCAGAACTAGAATTAGAAATCAAAAGACTTTTGCCAAAAAAAATTGATTCGTTAAGGCAGCTCTCCTAATAGCTAGCTTTTAAGCGAAACATAAAGATTAATTATTGGAAAAGTCATAAAAAAAAATAAACATCATTCACCAATATGCATTGGCTGAGTGATCTCGTCTGTCATGTGCGCGATCCACAAACAAATAATCAGAAATTGGCCCGAGGGGCGTCACATAATGGGCCGCCCGCTAATGATGCAAATGTGGGACGGAAAGCCGTCCCGTGGGCGGGCAACTTGGTTGGCTTATCTCATTTTTCGAACGAAAATGTCACTGAAAATCGAAAAATTTATATGACAATTTGTTTACGGTCAAGTCGGCAGAAATGTGCTGCCAAATGGCCAATTAGATGCATTGGCCACAATCAAGATGAAATGATGCCAATTAAAATTGAGCGTCAAGTGTTCGCATACAGGGTGCTCTCGGCGCTGCGACCTTTGCCAATTAGTAGATTGGCAATTGGCAAATTCGAATTAGCCGCAAATTGTTTGGCAGAGCACACGACAATGGCCGCAGTCGATAGCAATTAATGTCTAAATCTGATTCACATACCATGCGGGATGCCTTTTCGTTTGCATTGCAGCGCACGACGATCGCAAGAAGCGTCCACGCACCGCCTTCTCCGCCGCTCAGATTAAGGCGCTGGAAACGGAGTTCGAGCGTGGCAAATATCTATCCGTGGCCAAGCGCACAGCGCTAGCCAAGCAGCTTCAGCTTACCGAGACACAGGTAAGCAGCAGCTGATTCCAATAAGTGTTGGTTTTTTTTTTTTAAGCACTTTGTTCAATTTGTAGATCAAGATCTGGTTCCAGAACCGACGCACCAAGTGGAAACGCAAATACACCTCAGACGTGGAGACGCTCGCCTCCCATTATTACTCCCAGCTGGGCATGGGTGGCATGGCGCGTCCCATGGTTGTGGGCGATCGCCTCTGGCTGTTTAGCCAGACTCCAGCGGGTCCCACGCCCATACAGTCCATCATGTTGAATGGCAGCGGCGCCGCGCCCCCCATGCGTCCATTCGGTCCACCAGCTAGTGCGCCTGGCATGCCGCCTCTGCACGGCTCAAGCGTTATTGAGAGCGCCAGGAATGCCATACTGTCGCGTGGACAACCGCTTAACTTTGCACTGCCTTTTGGACTGGCCAAGCCACCGCCGCCAGCCGGAGGAGCAGCAAGTGCCCCAGCCAGTTATGTGCCGCGCTGTAAGCCGTATCCGAGCAGCTTTACGGACTATATACCGCCACATGCTCACAATGAATCTTATCTTCAGCTGAAGTATGCTACACTGCCGCCTGAAGTGGATGCGGATGCGGGCACCAGCAATGGTCTGGCCGAGCTGGAGCGCGTGTTCGGTGATGCCAATGCCAATTTTCTGCTGAACAAAAACGTGCCAGTCGCCACCAGCAGCATCTCCTGTGGCTATGGACACGAGGGACTGTCACAGGCGCAGCGCAGCCGACGCGCCACGCAATCCGAGTCCGACTGCAGTGACATTGACTGCGAGCAGCTGGACGAGGACGCGGACGCCGTGGAATAGCCACATGAATCAAATGAAAAGTCAGCTTGTAGTTAGTTATCTTTACAATCTATGTTTATACGCCACACACAAAAATATGCTCATATAAATACAAATAGTCATACAGATGTGATGAGTATGTTGTCTGTAGGTTAGTAGCTATCACTATTTGACAGTGGCAGGCACACAGAGTAGTAGGATGTGTGTAGTAGGGGGGTATTTCACTGGGGGAATTTAACGTGTGTGCCTGTCTCCCGAAATGCTTAGAGTTAACTATGGCTATTCTATGTTACATGTTGTGGGTCGGTTGTTGGCTCTCTTTCAAGTTACATATTACACGAATTATAATTAGATAAATCAAAATCACAAAGACTTATGTTTAACGGCCATTACAGACTTTCGAGCTCGATCTGGAGTTGGAGTTCATTCAACTTAACAACTAAATGCTCATTTGTACAGTAAATCAGATCGAATCAGCATTAACAGAAATAACATTGCAATATTCGTCAGCGACTGCTGTGACTATATATAGTATACATATTATCTAATACTGTCAACTTGTCGTTGCTATTGCTTCGGTTACAAATTTCAATTGGCTGTGTGCTTCGAGATGGGGCGGAGGGTACGGATCTGACTATAACATAGAATTGGATCGGTCTCGTTGCACAAGTTTTACAAATTAAATATATACGTAGTTGTAGTAACTGGAGTCTCATCTTAGATCGGTTTAGCACTGGTTGCGAAACATACATTAATTTTACAATTTTAACTAAACTACTTAATGAACAAAATATAAACTTGTAGTCCTATTTTTTTGGTATTGCAAAAAGTTTTCAAACACTCATTTTGATTCGTTACGTGTTACATTGAGCTGAGCTTAGGGTCTATCTAGTAACTAGTTTTGTGATGTTAGCTCCATGACAGGTCATAGCCCTTCCAATTAGCACTAGGCGCTAAATGTACACGTCGCTTATTATAATAGAACGAAACGATGCCATGGTAAGCGGTGCGTGGCACACCACTCTGTCAAAGATAAGATAACTATTAGACACAATACGTTGAGAAATCTGTGAGATGCTAACCTTAAAATCGTCCATGAGCCCAAGCATTCTGGTAATGCGTTTGTACTGATCACGATTATTGTACTGCATGCGCACTGGTCCCTCCATGGCAATGAGATTGAGACGCAGCTCGTCGAAGGTGACCAGGGGAAGCACATACACTTGCTTTAAAAACGTGTTATCATAATTATCCTGCGAAAAACACAATAAATTAGTTGACCATCCACTAAACAGCGGGATGTACGTACTTTTAATAAATAACTCATATTTATTTTGCTAAACTGTACAAAGTCCTCGCTGAGCTTTATGTGTTTCAGATACTTGTCAAAAAACAAACCGCTGAAAGAATATGCAAAACCATATTAATAGTTAATAAGTAAAAGTATTTCAACCACTTACTTTGACACGCCAATCTTGCCAAAAGTGCGTGTCCGTGAGATTTCAGGTCTAATGCAAACGCGATCCTTGCGTTGCTCCGGATGCCGTATCCAATCATCCCAGAAGCTGCAAAGTAGATTAGCATATAATAATTGTGCTCAAACTATTTGTACTGCAACTTACGATTTGGGCCATTTGACAGACAGCTCGCTCCACAGCTCCTTGGTCAGCATCCAACCCAGGCCGGGAAAGAAGTCGGTGCGGTAGAGCAGCTCAGGCTGGGCCGTGTCTATAACGTTCGCCTTGCCATTGTCATTCCAAGCCGAAACACACCAAAGACTTTTATCCTGCTTGAGCAGCTTGTGCGTGCCCAGAAAGTACTCGAAGAAATCGGGTGCCACATTTAAATCGTCCTCAACAATTACCACATAATCAAAGCCAACATGGAAGGTGGTATTCAGTGCCCAGCCATAATGTCGTGCAATCTTGTAATAGCCCTTAAACTTCTTCTCCTTGGGCAGCACTGTGATATCGCTCTGATCGGGCTGCTCTATAAGCGTTAATTGGTTGCCAAATGACTGAATGGCTTGTTTGGTCAGCTCATCGCCGCAATCCTATAGAAATAATTATTTGAGTTGTTGATCGGTTAGCTTGCGCCGCCCAACACGTACCTGGGAAACAATTATGGGAAACTGCTCGATGCTGGGCCGATATTGCACCAGATTCTCCAGACACTTGACGACCGAGATGCGATTGCAGGCAAACACTAGGATGGGTATGACAGGCTCACCATTCGCCAGATATGTTCTAGTCGGTATTTGCGCTGATGTTGCCACTGATGCGGCGTGTGTTGCTTTCGATTCCTGTTCCAGGAGCTCATTTGAGATTTCAGCTGCGACGATTGTTATTTTTGGAGTCGTGGTCACTTGCGGGTCGGTGTACTTGAGTCTCAGAAATTCTATCAGAGTTTGTGATAATCTCAAGCTTTTCGACCGCTCCGTTAATGCCTTTGGCAGTATTTGTTTCACCTGCTGACTTTGGTGCATCGCGTCCAGTTGGCCATTACTATTGCGCAGTAGTATATAATACGTAATGAACGTCCACATGATGAGGAAGCTAATCACCATCACCTGCACCTTGCGCGAACGCATATTGCTGTGTGCTGGCTGAGCCGGGCAGGGAAAGGGGCGTCAAACGTTTCACGTGTTCGTCGTAATCACTTGATATCTCACGCCAGCAGAGCTCGCTGTGGCTAGTGCAGCATCTGTTTGATGTGAATGGCTCGTCGTCTGAGTGAAAATTGAAATTGTTTGTGTTTGTTGAAGCGCCAGGTGCGCTCATGTATTGCGTGCTGTTTTAATCGGTGGGAGTGGAAGCTTTGTTGTTGTTGTTGTTGTTGTTGTTGTTTGGGTTGGTGCTGGTTTTGCTGTCGTCGGTGCACTGGACAACAGCAGCCCTCGCAGCGGCTCAGTTTTGCAAAGTTTATGCTGCTGTCGCACCACATTAGCATCGACTGCTGGCGTTGTGTGACAATGGCAAGGGCGGCTGGCGGTGTCTCTGCTTGGCCGCTACATTTATAAATGGATTACGCGTTATGCACCAGCGCCTGACTTAATGACGATTCGTGTTGATGTGGAAAGCAATGCGCCAGCTTGGCAATATGTTCAAATGCCCAAACCAAACAAAAGCGCACACGTTGCCTGTTTCTCTTAATTGTAAAACTGTGTTTGTTGTGTGATCTACTAGTGGTATTTTAAGATGGCTAACAGTCGGTCACACTTTCCCAGTCAGCTGGCATTTTTTCAATGTTAGGCAACACTGGAGCAGTTATGTTAACTCAAATTGGTACTGTAGAAACTTTAAATCTGCTGTGCTGTGCAGCGAGCGTAATTTGAAAATGTATAATTTATTTGAAAGAAAAAAATTGACACAAACTGAATTCAATTGGATTGTTTAATTTTATTAATTCATTTAGTTTTAGTCATTAATTAAATTAGCTTAACAGTTAAACTTAGAAGACTAGTAGGTGCTTATGCATAAGACCAATTTATCATGTTATCGAAATGTTTATAAGAATCACTGTGTTTGTTGTTGCTGTTGTTATTGTTTGTTGTTGTTGTTGTTGTTGTGGGTTTTTCTTGTCACTTAAGCTGGCATTGTCGGGAGCTTTAGCTGAGAACTACACACATTAAAATTAATTGTATTTACGATTTATAAATGGCAGTTACATAAGTATATATATTAGTAGTAGGTAGTATATATATTTTTTTTTAATTGCCATACACACTGCACACACGCAGCTCCAACCTGATTAACAACCAGCCCGCCTTTCGTTTGAGATTTACAATTGCCATATATCCGACTATTTACATGAGGCGCCAACACAGCGCACCGACCAGCGCCCAGAGGCTAAAGACGACGGGTTGGACCGCAGCCGAGCTGAGCTGTCCCAGCTCTCGTTCATCCACCACAAAGGCGGGGACAGCGCTGCTGGCGGGCGTTTGCTCCATGCTGCGGCTCAGTTCCGCAAAGTTGCCGCGACTGTTGCGCGCCAGGCGCTGATTGGCCAGCTTCAGTTCGCGCAGCTTCTCCTCCAGCTGCAGCACCTCATCTGTGAAGAAGGAGTCACCGATAAGCTGGCACACAAAACAAACGCCTGGCTCAAGAACTCACTCTTGTTGACGCCCTCAATGTCGTTGACTTGCAGGAACATGGCCAGTGATATCTCATAGACCTTATTCGCGGCGCTGATCTCACGCTTGCGCCTGCCATAGCCCACCTGGTTGTTGGAGCACTGTGTACCTAGGCACTTATCCAGGCAGACATTGACCGTGGCGCGAAACTGCACATACGAGGAATCGGGAAACTTGAAGGCCTTGAACTTGGCGCTCAATATATCGCCATCTACGGTGTTAAAGTTCTCAAACAGATAAGGATCCACAGTGCAGCTGCAAGGAGTACAAAAAAGCAAAGATTAACACACACAAACTAGCTGGGTAATTGATCAGGTCGTATGCACCCCTTGAAGATGAGCGTCTCGGAGGAGCTGTGCGTGTCTGTAACATCCAAATAATTGACGCCCAGGCCATAAACCGGCGCCGAGTCCTCATCCAGGTTGATTTCCATCGTCAATGGCGTGCCCTGCATGAAAGGAGAGTAAATTAGTGCCATAAACAAGTGTAAGTGTGCTTGGGCAGGCGAACCTACCGACTTGACCGTCAAATCTCTGGTAAACTTCTGGCCATCCTGGCTAACTCCAATCGACAGACGCGGCTCCGGTGCACGTTTTGTCAACGAGGTGGTTATCTCCAAATCGCTGCAGGCGATGCCAACAATGACAGAAGCAGAATAAAAGAAAAATGCACTTGAAAAGAGCTGTCGGAATGAAGGGGGGACGGGGAGTACGGCACACCCATTAAATGTATGCCGGATTCAACAAAGTAATTGAAGGACATGGCACGTACATATATCAACAATGCACTCAAAAGCAAACATTGTAATACCCTCTCCCCATCATTAAGTACGTTTGTCCGGCGGCACGCCCGGCAATTAAATTGACTGTGGGGGTATTAGCGCGGGCATCGATTTGACGGCTAATTACCGGCTGGTAATGGCCGCCCGTACAGCCAATGGGACAGTCTTTTGATTTATGACCACACAGCCATGGCATAGGGTTGGGTCCGTGCCGCTGCCGATGCTTGGCTCTGGGTCTGGGTCTAAGTCTGGGCATTTAATATGCCATAAAGTTTGCATAGATTGCGCATAAAAATATGCATAGATGCAATTTGAGGACGTTGCATTTTGATGGGCAATTAAAAGATGGGCAGCACAAACCGCTGACCGAAAACTTACTCTGGTTCCTGAAAACCCGCCGGCAGCACATCGCGTCTGACCAGGCCATGATGCTGGGCAGGCAGCTGTTCCTGGAGCACGACGCGCGTCTGCTCCCGTCCGGCGTTGGTGCCATTCATCATGACATTATAAACCGGACCGCTTGTGGTAATGCATTTGACGCTGACAATCTCCTTGCTGCTGGCCGATTCAATGATGATTTTATGGTAATACACCTTTTTGCCCTGCGGTGACAAACAGCATGTACACATAGAGAGAGAAAGAGAGAGAGAGAGAGAGAGACGGGGGATTATTCACTATCGCTGGCAACGAGTGGGGTTGGGTTGGGGGGATTCACCTACCGTTAGCTGGTTGACCATGCGCGTCACGCCGCACTCGTAAAAGTCGCTGAGCGATAGACGAAAGACGGCGAGAGCGCCATTGATTTGGGGCTGACAGCGCACATCCGGATAGCCCTTGAGACCCTCCAAGTAGATCTGCGGACGATCGGCCGAGCTGGCGCTCGTGTCCGCTGGCAGGCCAATGTCGACGCGCATCTGATCCTCGGAGCAGTGTACCTTGTGTGCGCCTGCAACAAAGTAGTCAAAGAATGCAAAATGGAAATTAAATTGCTGCCGCTCTATACAAAAACAAAAACAACTACAACTACAAGAACTGCATTGGTTTTGGACTGAAAGTGGGCTAGCATGTCGTCGCCATGGTGTAAACTGGCCAAACTGAGCCAAATGCTCAGCCAGCAACGCCTTTCCATGTCCAGCGTGTGGACATTGACGAGCGCAGCAGGCTGCAAGCGGGAGCGGCGCAAGCACTAAACAATTGCCGCATAATTACTATGGAAGTGGAGCGCGTTCGTTGCCTAAGTCTTTCGTTTTTATTGCCTCGCTTAATAAAGCTGCAGGGCTGCTTTTGATACCCAGCACAAGAAATGCACCCGGAGCGTATTGAGACCAGGCTGTGTTGTTCCCCCACCAGACAACAACATTTGAGAGGGTATCTCAGAGTCGCTGCTAACTCTGGTCTATAGTGCTCGCTTGTGCAATGTACATCGGCGGGGTCTGGTCAGCCACAAGACGAAAAATAAAAAAAAATAAAGAAATATGTATAAGAAAAAGCAAAAGCCTGGCATTAGCCCAGAGAGTCAGTCAAGTCAAGTCCAGCCAGTTCAGTTCGTCAGCCTGCCAGTTGTGCGTCCGTGCATCGAGTCCGAGGCACACTCACACACTGCTTTGGTTTAGTTTGTGCGGCTGGAGTGTCAGGCATTCGCTTTGGCATAATTCCGTTGCTGCCTGCTGCCCCATCAGCCAAGAGAGTAGTAATCAAAATCTTATTACGCCCGGAACACGTGTAGGCAGGCCCGGGTGTGTGTGATCGGCTTAAACGCTGCGGAGCCATTAGCTGTCCCGATCGCAGAGCGTTCATTTTGAGACTGATCAGCAGCGCATTGCCAAGTAATTTGAATAATTTGCTCAAAGTACTTAATCTCGTTCTAATGCCGGCAACAAGCCATGCATTACCAAAAGAGTTCAACAGAAATGCCGCCAATTAAATGTGAGTAGTAATAAAAGAAAAAAAAAACAAAGGCAAAAGCAGACACAAAGGCAGAACAAACAACAGAGAAAAGCAAACAGCAGACAACAATAAAACAACAAAACAAAAAGTACCCGAAAAAACTAACCACAAAATTCGTGGTAAGTCCATGAAATGCAGAGACAAGCGCAGAGGCTGAGTTGGAGAGCAAGGTATGTGGGAAGAGTACATATTATATATAAAAGTAGCATAATAAAAAAAGTATTAAGGAATTTAACTGTTTTAATTAATTTTTAGCTATTAATATTAATAATATATTGTATTTCGAATGAAAGAAAAAGCTTTGCAAGTTGAAGAGATTACAGCTTACAGCCAAGTTCGGTCTTCGACCCTCGAGTTGGATGGATCCGCTTGGGCATGAATCAGCCTTCCCCTCCTGAGAGTTGGAAATATTTTCATAGATGCAGCTATTAACAAGTAAGAGGTTCTAGTCGGGAGCTCCCGACTAGGGGATACCCTGAACCCTCTTCTTCCGACACCATATGCATATATAAATTCTATTTTAGAAGCAACATATCATGTTTCGTGACTCTAGCTCTTATTGTTTACCAAAATTTCCCAGAAAACAGGATATCGATATTCGATATCGATTTGTATGGATTGCTTGGAAACGGAGTAAGTTATCGATTATCGGAAACAAACTCATATCTCCCCGGGAGTTATGTCGTTTTGGAACGTCATATCTCTCCGGGAGTTATGTCGTTTTGGAACGTCATATCTCCGCGCAGAGTTATGTCGTTTTGGAATGTCATATCTCCCTGGAGTTATGTCGTTTTGGAACGTCATATCTCCGCGCGAAGTTATGTCGTTTTGGAACATCATATCTCCCCGGGAGTTATGTCGTTTTGGAACGTCATATCTCCCCGGGAGTTTTGTCGTTTTGGAACGTCATATCTCCCCGGGAGTTATGTCGTTTCGGAACGTCATATCTCCGCGCGGAGTTATGTCGTTTTGGAACGTCATATCTCCGCGCGGAGTTATGTCGTTATGGAACGTCATATCTCCGCGCGGAGTTATGTCGTTTTGGAACGTCATATCTCCCCGGGAGTTATGTTGTTTTGGAACGTCATATCTCCCCGGGAGTTATGTCGTTTTGAAACGTCATATCTCCCCGGGAGTTATGTCGTTTTAGAACGTCATATCTCCCCGCGTAATTATGTCGTTTTTGAAGGTCATATCTCCGCGCAGAGTTATGTCGTTTTGGTACGTCATATCTCCGCGCGGAGCTGTTACCCGAGATATTAAAAAAAAATCATCGAAAAAGTTTCGAGATTCGCACCGACCTCGATTTTACAAAAAATCGTGATGATTTGGAAGGTCATATCTCCGCGCGGAGTTATGTCGTTTTGGAAAGTCATATCTCCCTGCGTAGTTATGTCGTTTACCCTTATACCCATTTTTAATGGGTTCAGGGTATAAAAAAAAACACTTGAAGACTTTTGTGCCGAACAGCTAGGAATTGTTGTGGCAACCCGCGAATGCAATTGGCATGCTGTCGAGCTCGATAATGAGAGAAATCAGACGCTTAAATTTGGTTTTAATTAGCAGGCGAGAGAGTGAAACCCGACAGCGAGAACGGCCGACAGTAAAAGCTAGGAAATATAAATTGCAAGGTAATTAAAAAGCGGCAGCTGCTGCATTTCAACAGTTGCCACTTGGTAATTCAAGCGGCAGCGCCAAGGTGGGCGTAATGCAAGCGGCGCCTAAAACAATTACAAAATGAGCAGCAGCCCGCAGAGCTGGCCACCAAGCTAAGTACTTCCGCGGCGCAGTAAAACAAATAAAAGCGACAGAGATACGGCATACGGCATACGGGTAAGTGCCTGATGATGTTCCAAATTACGCGCAGGCACGACAACGGTCCATTGATTTGTATCCAGATGGCAAAAGGAACTGCAAATGGAACTAAATTCTCAGAGCAGACGGCGCGCCACGCCCACATGCTGCCGTGCTGACCAGTTAATTGAGCCATGGCCATGGCCATGGCAGCAACAAATTCACATAGTCGTATTTCTAGGCACCATTTGGAGCAGTGCCTCGGCGCAGCAGGAAATGTTGTCTGCTGCTCGTGACAATAATTGAATCCAAGGTGCTCGGCCCTTGCCAGGCTTGTTGTCAATGTCTGCTGGCCACGCAAGTTTGTCGCCTCAGTCTTTTGATTTCGCCCCGACGACCGCGAGACAGAGACGCCAACGCTGTGCACTTACAGCGCGCACAACTTTAATTGCAAGCAAGGCATTTTTATTGAATTTTTACAACTCAATGGCCGAGTGCAAGAATCGCATTATAGACGGACTATATCAATGCCGCTGATTACGATTTATTTGACACAATTTTTATGGCAGTCGCTTGGCTCGTGGGAATCTGGGCCCGCGGCGATGGCGAACCTTAAACTATTTCAGCATGTTTTTCGGCCCGTATGTTAGCAGTAAAATATCTGAAAAAGACTTAACCCACATCTCGTGTGCGGCAAGCACATGACCACAGCTGAGCAAAGGTTCCGTGCTTTGTTTTTGGCGCTTGTTATATCTGTATGTACAACAACGGCCAATTTGTGGCAGCTAGCAGAACGGGCCACGGCACAGATCATCAAATGCCGCTTGACTGGGGCAGCTGATTCTTGGAATCGGAATCAAAAAAGTTGCCATTAGCATTTAACCTGCAACATGACAAATCAAGAAAACGTGCAGCATGCATGAACATGCTCGCCGGCTGCACAGACAGACATTTTGGCCCCGGTTAGCTGCAAAGCATAAATTTCCATTAACAATAAATTTAAAAGAAATTACATTAAAATGAAAATGACCCGGAGCGAAATTCTCAAGAAAAGCTCACCGAGCAGCAGCCACAAAAAGAGGAGAGTTGGTTCAATGGCAACCTCATCATCGGCACCATCATCATCAGACCTGGCCAGGCCCATCTGCAGCCAGCGACCGATTCACTCAATGACACTGTCTACAGCTGTGTCACTGCCTCTGTCTACCGTCTCTGAATCCGGGCTCCCGCCGCCTGTGTCGCCTAACTCCTGACTTCCTATCGGCATCAACAGCCACGACATTTGGTGCTGCGCATTCTTCCAACAATTTGGCAACAAATGCGCGCGCACAATCAAATGAATGCACAAATCAATAAGACTACCACCAGCGAGAGTCTGCTCGACTCGCAGATACTCTGGGCAGTTTTAACTATCTAATATTTAGATTTAAGATCAGGTTTCAATTCAGTTGAAAGCATTGAAAATGCTTAACTAACCCAAGCAAAGTCAATACAACAGAAATGTAAAAGCCAATTTTTGATAACATTCTGAGAGAGACAAATTAGACACACGAAAATAAAAACAAAAAGACTGCGGAGCCATGCCAACAGTCTTGTCCCACAGCTGACCACCAATACGTGCCTTCCACACCCTAAAGGCAAACTTTGTAAATGTAACCAACAGGTGACATGCACCTGTACAGCTCAGAGCCTCAGCAGCTTAACCCGTTAACCAGGATTTTCTATGCGTGAGTCACCATTTAAAGTCCGTTTAAATTTCCTATGCTATAGCTTCTGATCTTTGTGCATCCACTGATTCGTCAGCCTAACCCAAACTATGCCAAGGTTTTTTGTAAACAAATCTCTTTGCAAAGGTTTATATTTTAGAAAACCCTTAACGCTTAGAACAGTGCTAGCAGCGAGCGGAGCTCTAACACAATTACAGGGTATATATCGAGGAGAAGTGCAGAAGTGCCAAATGCTTTACAAGCCACGCCAACAGTCAAAGCCAACAAATTCAAATCATTGCCATGCAAATGGCATCGTTTTGCAGTCATCGCCAGCTAAGAAGCCAGCGCAGCAGTCGTGAAAGGTGGCAAGACATCATCCACCATCTCTCAGCACCTACCCAGTCGGCCGCCCACCGTGCCGCACCACACCGCACCGCAGCGAAGCGCAGCTCGTTGTCAGCCAATTTTGTGTCACCCCCTCGACCGCATGGCCAAG